TTTGACTTGGTTGCAGTGCTCACCTAATATAAAACTAAACAAAAATGTTCATTTCAGTCAAGTTGCCATCATTGTGGTTCCTCTTCTTCTAATAAACAAAATGTCGACGATACTACGACCACTGGTGTGGGTGTGGATGTGGGTGTTAGTGTGAGTATTCCTTCCATCTACACCGACAACCACATCCACACCCACCCTCAACGACTCAACTCTTCGAGCTGTATTTTGTTTTACAAGTAGAGTTTAGTTGAATATTGATGTACAAAAAGATTTCAGCTTAAACGACTGATATTTTGTTGAGATATAGGATACCGAAAATTGGTTCCAGTGAAAATGGGATTTTTCAGTGCTTTTCATAAAAATGCGATAAAAAACGAACAGTTCAATATTTTTTCAAACAGCTTTCGCCAAAATTCGGCAAGCACTTGCCTCTATTAAATGTATTAAAATGAGCCGAATCGGAGAATATCAATTGAGTAATTTCGTTCGTGGCTTACGTGGAATGGCTCCTAAATATCTGCGTCATAATTTCAGCGAGATATTCCACAAACATTGAGAGGTACATTGATTCTAGTGCACCCGTTCCTTTTCACAATAGAATATCAGTGGATTTCAAAGTAATTTGAATGAATTTAGAGAGCAGAAAAAAACAATCTGATTTATATATGTGATAATGAACAAATTATTGTCAGCGAAAAATTTCCAAGGAGTAGATTATGAATTTTCTACATTCAGAAAAGTCGACAAGAAATGAGTTGAGAGTGAAACCGAATGGTTGAAAGTTGAATTCACAATTCCAACTTGGTCAAACGAAAACCAGAGGTAAATAAAGTTGTTAACGTTCTGTCTATCACTATAAACACATTCCCGCAATCATTATCTTGTGTAAAGATGTAAAGATCGTGTTCATCGTGGAGACAAAAGGAGTCGACTATTGTTTTTATAGACATGATCCATTGAACAATTATGAAGACTCGGTTGCTTTGCCATAAATTATTCATTGTATTATTTGTCGCTTAGATAACATTCATTAAATATCTCCAACAAGAAAAATAACCTGATGATTACCGAAAATCCTGAATGAATATATTATTCATAAACAAATAAGAAGCTTATAATGATCTTCTTTTTAAAAGAGAGTCAAGGAAGGAGTGTGTAAATGTTTATCTATCTCAATTCGGAATTTTGAATGAAGCGAAAAATTCAAAATATGATTAATTTATTTTTATGTCATTCAGCAAATTACAACGAATAGTAAAAGCATAGATCAATAGTAAAATGTGGAAAATTTTAGTTATTGAACACATTTACGATATTAGAAGTATAGTTTTATTCGCGTTTTATAGCATCAATTGATACTCTATTCAATGTTCTAAGTGAAAAAAAAATCGAATCTCAGGATTCTGTCATCTACGGTTCTGATTAATATGTAATACAAGAAAAGTTACATTCAATAAGAAATAAAACAGACAAATGTCCTTTAACGAATTAAAATATTATGTGAATACAAGCATTGTCAGACAGATGCCGACAAAGTAGAGTAACCAGCCAGATCCATATCTTGAAATAGAACATGCTGCCAGCGGATTTTTTTTCTGCAACGATGGATTTTCATACGCACTTGGAAACCATGTGTGAGCGACGCCATCAAGAATAATTGCAATACCGTTAGCCAGTGCCAATGCGGCTAGTCTCTCTTGTGAATTAAGAGAAAACACTGCTTCAGTAATGCGTACTAGAATGTAAACGGCTGGCACTGTAGCAACCATCGTAAGACTTCGACTTGAATTGGTACGAAACATATATGGTCCTCCATAGCGAATTGTCATTACACCCACATCCCAAAAAAAAGTGCCGTATCCCAGTAGTCCGCATGTTTTTGCTAAGCTTAAGCTGTGCAAAGCCATCTGTTTAAATAACCAAGATCAAAGCTTCAAAGTGAATGCTGTTGTATTTTTGGTGACTATCTACAAGCATTATCATTATAAAATAGAATATTTTATAATATTTATTTTCAACTAAATGGTAACATAGAATAAGAATATTTGACAGAGAAGGCAAAAGTGTATTTGCTTTTATTTTATTGAGTAATCTTTCTCATATACCATCAATAGCGTCATAGTATTTATTCAAAAATAAGCGTCATCACAGTACATATCTCTCTGCACTATGATGAATCATACAAAATAAACATTATTTCTTATTAGAATGAAAATAATCGAAATGAAAATCTAATAAAAAAAGTTTTACTTTATATTTTTGAAAGTATTATCTGACTTTGTCTCAGACATATTGATCTCAACAAAATTTTGGGCATCACATGCAAATATGCTCGTGGAATATGTTGATTCATTCGGCTCATATAAATTGTACGATTTACAAACGATGACATGTTTCACGATCACTCTTCTCTACTGATAAAATGAAACAAATGAGGAATGTTATATATTCAACAGATTTTTGGAAACTTTCATAATTCATTTCAATAACTTTCATGGAGCTGAAAAAGTTATTTTCCTAATTTTCTCTACTACAAGTCTGCACCACTTTGGACAGGAAGAAAAAAAACAATCTTCCCAACAAATACCATATAAAACACACAGAAGAAGAACAACAACAGAGTCAAGCTTCAAGTTCAATAGGAGAAAGAAAAAAATTGGTTAGTTTCTTGAATGGAACAATCAAATACATTGTGAATTTAGTTTAGTTGAGAAAGATATAAAAAAAGATGTCACTCCTATTACATGTCTATCGATGGAATATGACTTGACTCTTGTACACATCAATACTACGATCTAGGACAGACTATAGACATGCGAAAAACTGCTAGGAAAATGTTTCATCATATATCTATACACGTCCCTTCAAGACAGTATTATGAATGAAGAGGGCTTGGTATATTTTACAATATCTTTATTTTTGTCGCGTGTTACATGCTTTAATTCTTCGGCATATTCGACAATCAATCGAGTTAAAACTGTGGTTGATCTTTGCAGAAGCTCACCCTTCATGAATAAATAAAACTTCTTGGATAACAAATGATTTTGTGGTCAAAATACATCTAAAATAATTGTATTCGAAGTCGTGAAAATGTCATTTCATACCATATAATTACATTTTCGTATAGATACTCGAAAGTTATATCGTGCAAAAGTGCCACAACTAAATGAAAGCAAAGTTTCAATAAAATGCAATCATAGAGTTCTTTCTGTTTAAAAATTTGTTTAACTTAATGAAATCTACAATAAAACTTCCACGAGACAGTCAGTTGACTGCACACGTGCCCAACATTCAAACATAGACCAAAATATGGTGAGATATGTACATGGGCAGTACAACAATAATGTTGAAATAATGATAAAACTATGATTATTACTCTTCTTCCCTATATCTGACATATGTTGAAATGTTTTACTGAAATCTTGGTCATTCATATGAACAGGTGACAAAAAAACAAGTTTCTTATAATGAACTAGGAGTCACAGGCGAGATAAATAATAAGAGATCAGTGAAATAAATGTCTATTAGTTTCACAATAATGAAAACAAAAATATCGCAAATCCCACTAAAAATTAGAACTATTTTCTAGAAAATGAATATCTATAAGAAACGCTAATTGTATGATGGGCTTCTTTTTCTTGGAATATCAAGAATTTTGCCGCATTTCGAAGAAGTCAGTCACAGTTCCTTGTCAAACATTATGTGAGATAATAAAAACAATCGAAATAGTCTTCATCGAGTAACTAGATGTTCATTGAC